CCTGGTAGTCCCAGGGATAATGGAAAGGAACGGGGGTTTCGGCGATTTAGGCTGTTTCGGTGGGAGCGGCAAAGACAGAGCGCTGCTTGAGGATGACCGGGCGCTGCAGCTCGCCCTGGACCAGCTCTGCCTGCTGGGGCTAGGCGAGCCTTCCTCCTCCTCCTCCTCCTCGGCCGTGGTGCTGGTGGAGGACAGCAACAACAACAACAATAACCCGCCGCCGCCGCCGCCGCAGCAGCCCCCGCCGCCGCCGCCGCCGCCGCAGCAGCCGCCGCCGCCGCCGCCGCCGCCCCCGGCGGCCCCGAAGGTTTCGGCGATGTCTAGCGCCGGGGCGGCGGAGCCCAAGTTGTGCGCGCTCTACAAGGAGGCCGAGCTGCGGCTCAAGAGCAGCTCCAACACCACCGAGTGCGTCCCGGTGCCCAGCTCCGAGCACGTGGCCGAGATCGTGGGACGGCAAGGTGAGCGCCGGGCCCCCGGTACTCCCGATCCCTCCCGGTAGCCCCGGTGGCCGGCTCCGGGACACTCCCCCGCGGCCGGGGGGCCCCGCCGCCGCCCCCGCCGCTCCCTCCCGCCCATTGTTCGGGGCCGGGGCCGCTCGGCCCCGCCGGGGACAAAGCCCCGGGGCTGCCGGGCTGGGGGCGGGCGGCTGCGCTCCGGCACGGGGGTTTTGGGGAAGGATGGGATGGGATGGGGCGTCTGTGGGAATGCTGCGGGAGCTTGTCCGGCTGCCGGCGCCGGAGCCCCGAGCGCCGCTCCCCGGTTCCGCCGAAGAGCCGATCCCGGCCGCGCTCTCCTTAAGAAAAGAACTGGGAATAAAGCGGGGGAAGGGCGAGGGGTGCGGGCTGAGCCCGGCCCCGCGCCCCGGAGTCCCCCTTTGTTGGCCGGGCGGAGGGGGTGTGGTGGTGCCGGGCTCGGTGCGAGCGGCCGGTGAGCGGGTGAGAGCCAAGCTCCTCCCGCCGCCCCCGGGAGCGGGGGGACCCCGGAGCGGGACCCGCCGTCCCGCGTGGGCCCCCCGCAGCCGCTGCCCGCGCTCCGCCACAGTGATGCTTTTGTTCTCCTCACGGCTCCGTTCGGAGCGAGGTGGAATGGAGGAGGGCTTTAAAAAAAATTATATATATATATATATATATATATATATATCCATACCACACCCACTCTTAAGTCACCCCTCGCCCACCCCCACCACTCCCGGGTGTGCGGTGCGGGGCCCCGCGCCGCCCGTGGGCACTGCGGGAGCCGGGGCACGGCGCTGCCGAGAGAAGTTTTGTGTCGCTACAGAGAGAAAAAAAAAATAATAATAGTGCGGCTAAGTGTTGGGTTTTTTTTTTTTTTTTTTCTTTCTTTCTCTGAGCAAGTAACTTAATGCTCTGGAAGTGCGACGGGCAGAGGCTGCGGCTCCATGGGGAGATGCTCCCCTGTGGGTTGGGATCGCAGGCTCCCGAGCAGGGGGTTTGTGGTTGGACCCGGGGGGTGACGACCCCCCAGTACCCCCAGAAGGGCTGAGGTGGGCGAGGGGAAGCCACGGGGAGAGGGACACAAATGGCTCCTTGCTGGGCATCTCTGACGCTGGGGCGTGCGGTTGGAACAATGGGGCCTGCGGTGGCTCTGCTCGCTCCCACCCGCGGAGCAAGGGTCTGGTTCCCACGCCGGGATGGACAGTGGGCACGAGTCCGGGGGGTGCTGACCTCCCCAAAACTCTGGGCATCTGCAGCCCAGGAAACAGCTTTTGCTCTGGCATTCACCGTGCTGGGATGGGCCCCCTCACTGGGAACTCAGGGGTGCAAGGGGTGAAGGTCTGAGCCAGGACACCCCACTGGCCCCGATCCTGCTTCTCCCTGTGATGCTTTCACAGTGCCGGCAGCAGAGCGCAGGCAGCCGCGGTGGGCTCAGCACCAACTCTGCGCTGGTGGGTGTGAGGCCGTGGAGAATCAGGCCCCCTTTGTTTAATAAAGTTGGGAAAGAGAGAGCATTCGGCAGGCAGAACCGAGGGGCAGCGTGCCGGGGCTGTTTTTCTTCCAGGATCTCAGTGCTGCCCCAGACTCCCGAGAAGGGGGTGTGTTCCGCTGCGTTCAGAACGCGGCACGTGCCTCYTGTGTCCAGAGCGATGGAGAGGAACGTGGAGACCTGGATTTTTTCCACCATTTTTTTTGTGTGTGTGTGTGTGTGAGGGTTTTCCCACATCTGGGAAACTGAAATGTCAGTGTGCTGGAGCCGTGGGGACGCGGCTGCGGCTGTGCTCGTCGGGCTGGTGGGGCAGATGGTGCAGCCTGTGCCCCATCATGGAGGTGGGTGGGACGGATCCTGTGCTGCCAGAAGCCAGGATTCCTTCAGCACAGCCCCTGCAGCCGTGGCTCTTTRCTCCAGCAGAGATCATGGCCCACAGTTGTTTCTAAAGGCCTGTAGGAATGTCTCCACTGTCTCCTGTGCCTTGTTTTTGTGTGGAAGGCCAGATTGAGGGTCTGGAGCTGGGTGCGGGGCTCCCTGGGGGACTGAATCCTGGACTCTCATGGATGCCTGACCAGGAATCCCAGAAACTGCAAATTGTCACCCCTTGGTGATACTGCTCATGTGGTGGACGGTTTTCTAGGAAAACAATTGTTTTGTGAGTACCTGTGAACAGGGTGATGAGCATCTTGAAAAAGGGAGGGGGAGAAAAAGTAACAATGAAATRAAAATTGTTTCAGGGCTTTACTTGGTAACAGGATTTAGCTTTTTATTCAACTTACTATTTTCTGAAGAAACGCACAATCCATAGCTTCGGATTGTTTTATAATAATATCAACCATSTATGAAAGTGTTCCTCATGGGTATGAGAGGCCTGGATCTGGGCATAGAGGCCCTGGTGCACACATCTGACCATGGGAATTCCATCTGCCCAAGGAGTGTAAAGGTGATGAAGTGTAAATAAGGCTCAAGCCCCATATATTTTTATTGTCATGTCTGTAAGGGTGGTTTGTGAAGGGCTTTAATTGTCGTGCTGGAGGTGGCTCCACTTGAAGCCAGAGATGCTGCAGGAACTCACCCTGAGCTTGGCAAKCTCCTGCTTTCCCTGGGAACTATGAGAACGTGCCCTCACGGAGCCAATCGCCTGCTGGAAACCTCKCCCGGGTTTGCGCTGGGGTTGGTTTGTGCGCTGAATTTGAGCAGTGTTGTCTCCAGCCGGCTGCAATGGGGGGCTGGCTGCCATCAGCTGGTGGTGGGCTCTGGGAAGGGGGTCTTGGTGGGAACTGGCCAGACAAAGCTCCTCCACCTGGCTCCGTGGCAAAGAGCCAGGTGGTTGGTGGGATGTGCCCAAGGCTGCTTTGCAGACTGGAGGACAGGAAACTGCAGAAGGAAGGGTGAGRGGATGAAGTCATAAGAATCCCTCTGCCTGGTGCCCAGCCATGACCTCCATGCCCATCCTCCTGTTGCTGTGAGAGTGAGGGGCAGAGGGGAGTCTCTCCCTGAATCGTGGCTCCTGAGGATCATTCCTCTCTTTCCCTGGCATGTGTGTGAGCTCCAGCTGTGACCAAACCTCCTGGCATGTGCCATGGCACACAGAGTGCTCCCTGGTTCTGGAGCCTGTCTGGACCCATGTGACACGTTGGGGTGCTCTTGTGTTTCTCCTGCCAGCTCCTGTTGTGGGTGTCCTGTCCGTGACTGTGCCACCTCTCATGGCCGTGCCAAAGAAATTGTAAAGACAAAGCACTGGAAGGATTTGCAGCAGGTTTTTGAGGAGATGGTGGGACACCGAGGGAGTTGCAGAAGAGGGTGTGGGTTGAGATGGGAGAGGTGCTGGGAGGAATGGAGAGTGTCCTAAGGACATTGTGTTTTGGTTGTGAACTTAGCGAGGGGCAGAAATCCTCAGTCACTGCCATGGCCGGGCTCTTCCTTAGGAGTGACCTGAGCTGGGTGTAGATCAGCCAGATCAAGATTTGTGTCCAACTTTTCTTCCTGCTCCCACGGACAAACTGGGCTGCTGATGTTGGWGCCAGGGAAGAGGCCACGGGACATATTTAATGCCAGATGTTGTGGTTAGAGAGAGACACGGTGCTGGTTCTTTGTGTGTSTGGTGTGTGCAGGTGTCAGGAGAAGGTGTGGGGTTGGTTTGGCTTCCTGCTGCGCCCACTCCCAACAGAAACCTTCCCTAGAAGGATTTTTAGACTCTCTGAAGGTTTTTGGTCCTTCTAAGGGTTTTTAGTCTCATAACAGTGTTAGCATCCATTGTCACCTACCTGCACTCACAGACACCCTTTGATGCAGCACCTCCCAGCCTGCTTAAACCAGCCTGTTGTCACCAGGAATGASATTATGTGAGAGAGGATCTTAACATAAATTGCGCTTTCTTGGCAAGGTGAAGTCAAATAACGAGAGGCCCCACTAACCCCAGGTGATTGGGCTCTTTGTGTAGCTCCAAACACGCTCCAACGCTTTCAGCATTTAAAAATAGTCCGAGGAAGCCTTTTCCATTGAGGAAGTCTGATGATTGCAGCTCCCCCACCCACCCTGTGGAGGTGGATGTATGCACAGCATCCGAGGAGCAGCGAGGGGGGCAGCTCTTCTTGTCTCCTCGCTTCACCGAAATCTTGGAGCTAAAGCCACCCGATCTGGTGGGGTCTGAAGGCAACCTCCGTRCGCTGCTCTGGCAGCTCGGGATGGGCCTTAAAGGGAGAGGGAGAGACATTGCAGTTCGGTGTCGGGTCGTTATAAACTGTTAACGAGAATCGGTCCGAATTTACACCGGGGAAAAGTGCGGAACGGGCTYGACTTCGCGCGGTTTGAACTGGAGGTGGGAGGAGAAAAATGGGTCTGGTGGAGAGACAAAGGGAATTTTCTCGGGAGACACGCACGCTCCCCCGCGCATCGGCTCGGGCGGCTGGATGCCGCGCTGACCGAGTGAACCGCGCCGCAGCGCAGCCGCCCGGAATCTAGGGCAGTGGGAAAGCGTGCTGCCGGTGGCTGGCTGGGTGGGTGGGGGCCCCCGCCTTTGTCTGGCATCCCCCTCCCTCCCCGCGCCCCCCGCCGCTCGCCWTCCCCCGCGCCCCGGCCGGCTCCGCTCCGCTCGGCTCGGATGGGTTGGGCTCGGCTTGGCACGGCTCGGCTCGGCTCCAGCGCCGGGACCGCGGCAGGATTGTGCCGTGCGAGGGGCCACGGGCACACCCACTCCGTGCCATGCATCGCTGCTGGGGCCGGGGGCTTCCACTTCGCAACTTTCCTCCACCGCACAAGGCACTGATTGTCTGTGCCGTTGGGGTTTTTTTTCTCTTGGGTGTTTTGGTGGGCTTTCTCCCCCCCCCTTTTTTTTTGTTTTTTTTTTATTATTTTTTTTTTAAAAAAAAAACTTTCAATACAATGGAAAAAAAAAAAAAAAACCCACGTAAAATCACCGCACTGGAACAAGGCAGTCGCTGATTTTCCTGGCGTGGTGTATTGGGTGGTTTTTTTTTTCCCATTCTTGTAAACACAACTTGCATCATCA